TTTCAAATTTTTGTTTTTCTTTTTAAACTTTTGTATTATTGCAATTTATTGAAGATCGACCTAAAAGTCTTGCCTAAAGACCACTCAAGGTCTTGCCTGAAGACTAACTTCAAGGTATTTCCTAAAGATCATCTAAAGGACTTTCCTAAATATGATTTAAGGGAAGAACGACCTTAGTAAGGTGCAACAAAAACACTCCAATTCGAGCAAATCAAACTAGGAGAATAATGATTAAATAAGGGAGATAAAGAACTCTATTGTGAATCCTTATATTTGACAAGATCAAATCGAGCTAAAGGAGATTGTCTCTTTATCTTAAAAAATCCTCAAATTCCTTTCAAACCACAGTTCATACGCTAGGGCCTTTTTCTTTCCTCCTAAACATAATGTTGATGGTTCTATTGATGGTCCTTTATTACCCGATAGAACCAATGTTGCTCCTCGCAGATACCAGAAGCCCAACATTGATACCAGAAGCCCTGTAATCCTTTTGGTTATTTAAGAGATTTTCACTGTCTCTTGCTATCTGCATTTACGACCTTATACTTCTCATCCATTGGACCAATTTCTTTCTTACGATGTTTTCTCTTATGCTCATCACCATTATATGCTCAATGTATCCACTGAATATGAGCCTAGTTTTTTCCATCGGGCTATCGGTATTCCTCATTGGAAACAGGCAATGGATGACGAAATTGCAGCTATGGAGCGGACTAAAACTTAGAGTCTCGTTCCCCTTCCTCCTGGCCATTATGCTATCGGCTACAAGTGGGTTTATCAAATCAAATATAACCCTGTTGGTTCAAGTGATCGATATAAAGCCCGTCTCGTGGCAAAGGGGTACAATCAAATGGAAGGTATTGATTTTATTGATACTTTTGCACCAGTAGCTAAGATCGTGACAATTAAAGTTTTGCTTGCTCTTTCGGCTTCGTTTGCTTGGCCCTTAGCACAAATGGATATTAATAATACTTTTTTGAATGGGGATTTGTTTGAAGAATTTTATGTGTGATTTCAAAAGATGCTTTCGAAGTGAAAGTGAATTATATCAGATGAACGCTACTCTTCAAAAGAAATGGCGTGATTTGCCTACCTATATTCATAGCATGACGAACAGGAGGATTAAAGATTCTCGAAGGATGATATTGAAATCTTACTAGAAAAAGAAAGACGGAAAAAAAAATTTAATTTTGCAGTGAAAGTTGCGGATCTCTTCGCCTACCTTTGGGTTATTATCGTGATTCACAGACTTCTGATTCACCTTTAATTTGTCCGCTGAATAAATCTATATATGGCTTAAAGCAGGCTTCTGGACAGTAGTTTTATAAGTTTTCTACTATCCTTATGGCTTCTGGATTTTCTGAGTCTAAGGCCGATTACTCTCTTTTCACTTGAGGCTCTAGTTCTTCCTTTGTTGTTTTTCTTGTTTATGTTGACGACATACTTATTACGGGCCCTTCTTTTGATGTCATTGATTCTGTCAAAGCTACATTACAATCTCATTTCAAGCTAAAGGATTTAGGACATTCCAAGTATTTTCTTGGCCGAACTTTCTCGTTCATCCCATGATATTTATTTGTCGCAGCGTGAGTATTGGTCCCAGATTTTGGAAGATTCCGACTTTCTTGATGCTCGACCTGCTTCGTTTCCTATGGTACCCAATTTATGCCTTTTTGCTACTTTGGGTACTTCTCTTTCGTCGGACGATGTCACTCATGTTTTACGGTTGGTGGGCCATTTATTATATCTTTAGATATCATGTCCAGATATATCATTTTCAGTTCATCGCCTTAGTCAGTTTCTTCAACGACCTTGTACAGGTCATTTGACTGCTCTGCATCACTTACTTCGATAGCTAAAAGGTACTATTAGGCAAGATCTTTTGCTTCGTGCTTCCTCTACTTTCAACTCAAGGCTTTTGTAGATGCTGATTGGGGAGCTTGTTTAGACACTCCGCGGTCTGTCTCTGGATTTTGTGTCTTCCTTGGCGATCCTTTGATTGCCTGGAAATCCAAGAAACAAGCCACTGTCTCTCATTCATCTGTTGAGGTCGAATATCGTGCTCTTGCTACTGTTGCAAGTGAATTGATTTGGATTAGTCATATTCTTAAGGATTTATGTATTGATTCACCATACCTGCCTTAGTTTATTGTGATGATCAAGTTGCTATGTCTATTGCTTCGAATCCTACCTTCCACGAACGTACTAAACACATTAAGATTGATTGCCCCTTTGTTCGTGATCGCATTAATGCTAGTTTCTTGAGACTGCTTCCAATTTGGACTTCTTTTTAGCTCGCCGACATATTTACCACGGTTGTTTACGCTACCATTTTGCAGTCTTTTGTGTTCAAGATGGGTGTTTGCAATTTACACACTCCATCTCGAGGGGGGTGTGTTAAGATTATGTAACTGAAATTGGTTATTCAAATCTATTAGTTTGGTTAAGTTAATCGTATGGTTAATTCTTGTATTTCTATTTATACGAGAGAAACAAGTTGTACAAATGTGTGGTGATATTAGTAAAAATCACTCATTCATCTCCCTCGTGACGTATTAAAAATAATAATCAGGTGGGATAAATACAAATATTAAATATAATTTTATAAGAATCTAAAGATAGTTAAGAGAAAATAACAATCACTCCATGTCAATTTAGAAAATAGAACACTCGGAATACGATCACAGTACAAAAATTCTCATCAATTTAGAAAACAAAACACTCAAAATATATTACAGTACAAAAGTTATAAGTCAAAACTAATCACATCAATTTAGAAATCCATGTTAATTAAAAAATATATAAATATAAAATAAGAAATCCATAAAGAATCCAAGAATAGTTAAGATCATGATAATTTTATACTTTATTTCTTTATCGACTAAAATTAATTTCTGTATTTGCAAATATCTTCGCTTTGACATGCTTCAATGTTTTCCTTACGAATAACAAAAACTTTTATTTTCCGCTTTTTTTAGAAAGATATGAGTTATTTGATAAAAGAAGAGATATTCGTACACATTTTGGGAGAAAGCAATAATATAAAATTTGATGTAGTATAATAATACTTAGTTTTTTTCCATTTTATAAATAGTTTGTAAAAGAATAGATGCATTGTCTCGTCGAACATTCACACCTCTTGATCGATCACACCCATATGTGAAGGGACGCACTGTTTCTCTAAAAAAACAGTTCATTGAAACAATAACAAACAGACAGGTAAAAATTCTCCTCCATAGCCCAATTTATATATAGTATAAGATGAAGTCTAGCAAATGAGCGCAATCTGAAATTTGAACGTCTGGAATGTCCTCCATAATATTACTGAAAATAGAAACCTCTCTGAGCAATCTGATTAACATGGAGAGCAAAATCTTATTGGCAACTTCTGACGATTCAAATTGAAATTTCATCATCTACATCAATACAAACAACAAAATCTGATTTTCTTGAAATAGCTAACATGGAGAGCAAAATCTTATTGGCTTCGTCCATCGTAATCCACCAAATGTGACATTCTGGAAGAAACTCGCTAGAGAATCTTCAT